TAAAATATAATAATTTGATAAAATTATTTAGTAAAATTTACAATTTTTATTCCTTATAATAAAAATGTAGAGAATAATTTAAAAAAATTTTATTTTATAATTTAATTAGGAGCAAATACACAAAATATATTGTAAATTTTGTCTTTTGTCATTTCACTAATATTTCTTTTAACTAATATTTTTTTGAATTAATTTTAATTTTAATTCAAATTAAATGGAAATCTAATTTATCTTTTAATTACTAATATGTTAAATAAATAATTAAAAGTTTGAAATATTACACATAATGTACAATATTGCATAAATTTTTTAACGTTTTTAACATATATCAATTTTCAAGAGGATGTGTCGCCATGTCACCGCATAGAATTCATTGACCGTTAAGTTGACTGTATGAAATGACGCAATTTTTACGAAATGGTCGTTCAACGTGAAAATTTTTGTCGCAAGCCGGAGATTGCATTCGCGTCGCGATGTCAAAACGTCACGCGACATGCGCGACGTTCATAAGTGCTTTCGCAACAAAGTGCACTTCGTCAGTGTTCTCTCTAGCGGCCCACACGTCACTGACCTTGGAAAAGGTCCACTTCGAGAACTGGACGTAGCTCAGGCGCGTGGGTCGCTATCGAGGACGATCCGTGAAAAATGTCGAAGTCACTCGGAGTGTTGGACAGGTTTTGGTGACTGCCAGAGCTCGAGAGAGCTACATTGCTCCGCCGTTCATCCCTAGATGGTGATCCTGAACAGGCTCGTTGTTTCACTATGAGAAGTAGCGTGTGTCTCGCGAATGAATGCATATCAGTGCAACTAAATTATGCGCGCTTCTAGGGCTCGTTTAAGCTCGGGATACTGCTGGTACTTGACAGATGTGCATGTCCTTTTATGCGTTCATGTCTGTTGTCTCTGTACGGCGAGTTTATTACAGCGGATACCATACATAATGAAAGTTTAATAAATTTTCTACATAAAAAATATGATAAGATTAATATTAAGATTATTTTATATATCTTAATTTCTGATTAGCAGAAATCCTATTCAAGATATGCTAACGGTATAACATCACATTTTATGTCTGTGAGTTATTACATTAATTTTGTTATTGGAAGATAAAAATGTAGCAAATTAGGAAATCATAATGCAATATTCAATATTTATAAAATTATTTCTCAATTCATTTAATTTAATTTCTAAAAATAATTTATTTTGTTAATTATCTGTAATGTATCAATCATTTATATCTTGTTTGCTGTAAAAACTTTGCTGTAAAAATTGTATGATAAGGAATAACACAATTTTAGAATAGGATTACGTTTCATTCAGCAGCTGGACATAGTAGTGTGTCCAATATAAACGAGATTCCGCCGTACTTGCGCTATATCCTTAGGGGCAAAACGCAACAGTGTTACGCACGGAGAATAAATTTACATTCACGAACGGCGGCGGCTTTCAACGAGTTTGCTAGATAAAGGCGGTTCATTATGTGCCGCATTTATTACCCAATGGCGGTTCTCGATCGCCTCGCGATTGCCTTTAATCCCGTCGTCGAGATCGGATCTCGTTGAGATCTCGCGTAATCGCGTTACCAAGGACCTGTACGTAAAGTATCCTCGCGGCCAATCGTCACACACGCATTCTCGTTAAAGCGCATTGAGCGTTACAATGTTCGTCATTTGGTGCAAAACTCAGGTCAGGGATGCAGAAATTGATGCGTCCATGAATGATGCTCGATGCATGCAACCAATTTACGAAATGCAAAGTTACGTTCGAGAATGTCCATAATCGTTTTATTTTTAAACCATTTTTACGCAAATATACCTATACTTAAGAAGTAATAAAATACTTCTAAATGAAATGAAGAGAGCAAGACTTAAGCAAATGAAAGAAGCAAGAGATAAATATGTAAGATGTGTTCATTTTAACATCAATAATTATTGAGTAAAGAAATGTAATAGAAAGATATTTCCATCAAAACAACTGAAATTATAGGCAAATTTGCTTCATGACAGATTGTTGCCCAATACTACATACAAAATGGTCGAAAAGGATATTGCATTATAATTAATAAATATATATATATATATGTGTGTGTGTGTGTGTGTGTGTGTGTGTGTGTGTGTGTGTGTGTGTGTG